AAAAATATATCACCAATATATAACATTATTATCCTAATAACCAAAATGGATACCAAATGTGACAGAACAGGCAATATGCTTCGATAAGTGGCTTTATTATTCTACTGTAAAGCAGTTGATAAGAGATGAGGAAATAATAATGGGAAATCATTTGTATTATCAATAGTGTTGGGGTCAAAGATTGGCTTGTGATATTGTGGTAAACCAATGCCTTCCCGTTCATTATCAGAAGTACACCAGACAATCGCCAAACTGGTCAGCTGCACCCTGTCAACCTCGGTAGAGTAGAAACGTTTTTTGCTTACATGAAAACATGTTATTTTGGATATCTGTTACATATTAGAGCCTGGTTATTATAACAAGTTGTTACATTAAGGAGATGACTTGTGATAACAGTATCATATTAAACATATTTACTGATATTTACATTGAGTTATTCTCAAGTCAGAAACGTTACACTTGTGTGTTTGTTGAAACTAAATTGTCACATGATGTCAAAGTGAATTGGTTTCTCTCTGTATTGAACTGTTGGTTATACTTTTCTGTGATGCTTTAAATTCATAGTATTGTTATTGTGTAAAAAACTCTTAAACTCGTGGTTTTTATTAAATTTTACTACAAAATCTGTGTGAAAATGTCTTCAAACCCTGAAGTGTTGCTTTGTATATGTGTTGAATTAATTAATTGAACCTGCATTAATCAATATTTCTTATTTTAACATTGAATTATGTGCTTTTGTGCTATTAAAATATATTTCCTACCATTGCAAGTCTTTAGAGTTTCTATTGTATTTGTTTGGTCATTTCTATGGTAGATAAAACAATTTTCATTTCTAAAACTCCAACTGTGGATGATAACAGGTAATGATTTCCTTCCCTGATGCTGTTAAGCTGCAGAGTACCTCTTTCTAAAGCTTTGTAAATACGGTTGCTATTGGAATATTCTAATGAGCTATGGGTGATACACTACAAGTGAGCAATATTTGCAAAGTGTCAGTGTGAAACGTAACTACAGCTTATTTCTCTAATACAGAATAAGTACTGCTTGGGTTTCCATCTGTGGCACCTGTGACATCTCTGGTCAACACTTGAGGGCAGACTTCTTCATTTACTGTCTATCATTACTACAGAAGCCTATGTCAAAAAGGTATTTACAATTAGGAACATTATTAACATACTGTATGCTGCACTTATAAATGGATATACATTAACAATACACCGACGCTACTTATTTCTTTGGGCCTTATGTTTAATGTTGTACAAAGATTGTTTTAGGTTCAAGGTTTAATGGATATTGTCCATCTATGCAAATGCAGCAGCAAGGCTTTTAACTTGCATACGGAAATATGAGCACATTTCCCCCATTTTGGCTTCGCTCCATTGGCTGCCAATACATTTTAGGATTCATTTCAAAATCCTTTTATTTACTTTTGAATCCCTAGGGGTGTTGAAAGCAGTCTTCCATTCATCCCCCTCCCTTATCCTTACCAAATGATACGCATTTCGAAGATCAAGTTCAGTACAAATCTTTGCATCCTGTAATAGTTCAAATGCTGAAGAGATAAGAGGAAGGGGGTACCTGTTCTTTATGGTGATGTCATTTAGCCCTCTGTAGTCGACACATGGACGAAGAGTCTTATCCTTTTTGTCGACGAAGAAGAAGCCTGCTCCAGCCGGAGAGGAGGAAGGCCGAATTATCCCGGCAGCAAGGGAGGAGTCAATGTATCTCTTTATTGTTTCCCTTTCGGGGCCAGACAGGGAGTAGAGATGTCCCTTAGAGGGAGAGGTCTCAGGGAACAAGTCAATGGAGCCGTCATAGGGTCGATGGGGAGGCAGGGTGGAAGCACGAGTCTTATTGAAAACCTCTTTCAGGTCCCGGTAACAGGTGGGCACCCTGCTAAGATCCGGAAAATCAGAGTCTGCTGCAGCTTGGAGAGGGGTAGAGACAGCAGTAGTCAGGGCAACAGTCACATGGGTGGAGGGCAAAGGTCTCTCTGGAGCAGGGGCAGAAGGGAAACATGTGGCCAAACAATCCTTATGCCAACCCAAAACTCTCCCGGTGGACCAGTCCATGTGGGGATTGTGTTTTACCAGCCATGGGTAGCCCAAAATAAAAGGGTGTGAAGGAGAGTTAAAAAGATGAAAACTCAGGGATTCAGTGTGGCCGTTAGCGATGATTAGTTGAAGGGGCCGAGTACGGTGGGTGACTTGGCACAATTTGCTACAAGAGGCCTCAACAGGGGAACAAAATTAAGTCCAAGTCTCTTGGCTAATCTCCAATCAATGAAACTCTCATCTGCTCCAGAGTCAATTAGAGCAGCATGAGACAAAGTCTGAGTAGGAGTAATTAGCTGAGCAGAGGTGAGAGTACAAGAGGGACAAACAGAAACAGTTCGGCTCACCAGGACCCTCCTACTTACTGATGAGCCTGGCTACAAAGTGACCCCTCTGTGAGCAGTAAATGCACCTCCCCTCCCGTAGACGGCGCTGGCGCTCCTCAGGAGTCAGCCTTGCTCTTCCCAACTGCATGGGTTCCTCCTGGGCAGTAGGCGGCGCTGGAGAGTCGGTCGTCTGGAAACGCTGCTTGGGGAAAAAAGGACTGGCCTGAGACTGCCCTCTCTGACCGGGCGGAGAAAACACAGCTCTCGACTTCTCCCTTTCTCTCTCTACGAGGCGAGTGTCAATTCTTATTGCCATAGCAATGAAACTATCCAGGTCAGAGGGAAGCTCTAGAGGAGCCAACTGGTCCTTGATGGGGCCAGACAGCCCATGGCGAAAAGCGTCGAAGAGGGATGAATCATTCCAGCCGCTGTCTGCAGCCAAAGTGCGGAACTCCACGGCGTAGTCGGAGACACGCCTCCCTCTCTGGTGTAAATCCATTAGAGCTCTCGCTGCTTTCTTGCCTGGAGTTCTGTGATCAAATACTTTGCTTAAAGTCTCTGTAAAACCTCTCAGGGAATTACAGACTGGGGAATCTCGAGCCCACTCCGCCATAGCCCACGCCTCCGCTCTGCCGGTGAGGTGGGAAATGATGTAGGCTACCATAGCCCGTTCAGACTGGAAGGAAGATGCTTGCAGCTCGAAGTGCAACCCACACTGGACCAGGAACGCACGACAGTTATCCGAGTCTCCGGAAAAACGCTCTGATCTGGAGAGGTGAGGAACCGAAGGCAGCGGTGTCGGCATGGTGGCAGGAACAGGACCTGGAGCTGTAGCCGGATCCGACGCAAGAAGCGGAGTAGCAGAGCGTTGTAGATCGACATTTGCCACCAGCTGCTGGATTTGATCTGCCAGCTGGCAAACCTGGCTGCCGATGGAGGACTGGAAACCCTCATCACGCTCTGACAATTCTCTTACTCCCTGACAGACAGCGGTAAGTTGTTCAACTTGCAGGTTAACCCTTCTCTTGCGTTAGGTCATACCACCTTCCCATGATATTTTCGGTCAAAATTGACCGGTGTGTTTTGCACAGTGATATCTCTGGAACCCCTTATCCAATGTTGATGGTTGAAATCTCATTTGAACAGTCAAAGAAAGTAGAATCAAGGGATGACAGACAGAATGACACCAGGGGTGAATTTCATATTCTTTTTGGCAGTAAGTTCAAAGATAGTGCTTATTTTACATTACTGTATATTATAAAAATGATTGCAATGTAGGCTGTGTTTACTGTAGATGGACATGATTTAGTTAGTGTTGTAGCTGAGATTCCTCCCGTTCCAATGATGTATGGGATGTATTGATTTGATACAAGCAAGCCAGTGTTCCATGTCATAGTCCGACCCACCGGTGGGCCCATCAAGTTCAGCATTCACTGTGATGAATATAAAATAAGACACTGATGCTGTTTTCCCCAATGAACATGTATTGAAAGAGAAATATACCATAACAGAACATGTGTGTGTGTGTTCACTTGTGTTCACACTAGTGGTGCACGATAATTATCGGCCCGATAATTATCGGTCCGATATTAGGAATTATGACGTCATCCCGATAAACCCGATACCAGTATTAATAGCCCGATAATATACAATATATTTTTTGGGTAAAAAAAAAGAAAAAAATACTGCGGTGTGGGTGGATTGGGATGAGGGGCGCTTGTTTTTCACTCGGCTCCTCCCGTTTTGCCAGTACTGTGGTATTAGTGGTTTAAAGGAAGAGGGGAGTTTTTCACAAATCCAGCGCTCCCTAACTCATGCCTGGCTGTGACGTAAATGGTGTGCGGCCGTGAAGCCAGGACAGTAAACAAACATGTCGCCGGTAGTATGGGACTATTTCAAAGTTTCAGAGTTAGATAGTTCGCTTGCTATTTGTATTAACAAATGCAGAAGTTCCACGAGGAGGGAAAAAGGCAACGAGCTATAATACTTCCAACCTGATGAGTCACCTGAAACATCGCCATCGCTACGATGGTGTGTTAAAAGCGTACGAAGACGCCTGCGCTGCTAAACTAGCGGCGAATCCAAAGCCAGCTGCAAAGGCACCGGGGCTTTTACCTATCGACGAGGCTTTTGAAAAATGCAAGAAGTTTACCAGAGACGACCCCAGGGCTAAAACGATCTCTAACTTCATCATAGAAATGATGGCGCTTGACGAGAGTCAAAACTGTTCTTGGCTTTGTTTTGTTCATAGTAGTAATGCTCATGTCATTTGCTCACTACTAGTCTTTTTTTACCACCAGGTGTGCAAAAACTACAGGTACATTTAATATATATATATATTATATTATTATCGGTTATCGGTATCGGTCTTGAGAAGCAGGAAGTTATCGGTATCGGTTTCAAAAAACCAATATCGTGCATCCCTAGTTCACACACATAGTTGGTAATGCAAAATGGTGGAATGTCACCTCAGGCTCCTCTCCCTCAGGGGCCTCTATCTCAGGCTCCTCTCCCAGCTATGTGTTTCATTACATTTGAACATGTCATGGTGTTAGATATTCAGTGAGCTTAGAATTGTTCAGCCACCCTCAAGCAGGAATGACTACAGAGATACTGACTCTCACATTTCAGTGACCAGAAAACCACTGAAGGTTGTATGATGGTCAGTCCCCCAAACATAGGAGTTTTCAGTCATGAGCACGTACACCTGGTCTCCTTGCTTCAGCTGCAGGAACACTGCGTTTCCTCCATTATCAGCTGTGTCTGAGGTCGACCCGTGATCACTGGTCGTGAGCATTAGTTGATTGTTTTTGTAAAGAAGTAAGTTGGTGCCATGAGTCAATCCAGCATGAAAGAAGATGGTAAAGTAATAAACACCTGCCACCGGGGCAACGAAGACACCTGTGGAAACAACAGGGTGTTGGTCACATTTATGTCTTAATAAGTCAAATCACAAATTACCATTAACCACTTTATTTTTATTCTATTGCTTTTATTGCCTCAGTAAAAAATATATATTATGAGACAGGAAGTCAGTTTATCTTTTCAAAGTAAATAAATAACTTAGTTTTACCTGTGAATGGACTGTAGGCTCCACCAATGTTTGTGATCACGGTTCTGTAGATTAAAGTGATGTCTGTGTTGAAGGGTCCAATGTAATTTCCTCCTCCTCCTGTTGCTGCACTGAATATCACGTTGGTTTTTTCTGTAAATACAAAACATGCTGATCACACATATTTGCGGGTTCTTACGAAAAACTAGTCAAAGAGTCATTTGTTTCTATATTACTGAGACTTTTTAATGGATGCTTTACCTTTGTTCTTCAGTTCAAGAATCTGGGTTTCACTTTCCTTCAGCCTGGTTTCCATAGCTCCAAATGTATCTCTCAAGGCACCAAACTCTCTCAGGATATCCCCCATGTCAGGATCGCATGACAGTGTTTCATTGGCATTACCATCATCCTGGGCCAAAGTGAAGCCGCTCAACAGCAACACAAACAATAGACTGATGCCATCCCTTTTTATGTTGTTTAAAGGTCACCTGTTAAATGTTAACATCCCATTCTACAAGTTGCTTTATTATCCTATGGGTAGCAGTTGATAAGAGACGAGGAAATAATAATGTAAAATCATTTTCATTATCATTAAAATGGGGGTCAAAGATCAAACATTTCTCAGTTTTACAATGATCTTACAAAACAGGTTTATATGTATTGCACCTTTCAACCACATGGCAATTCAAAGGGCTTTGTGTTAGAATTTAAAGACAATATTGGAAAAAATAAACAAAAGGCGACCAAATATATCACCAAAATCATATAACATTATCCTTCCAATCATCAAAATGTATACCAAATGTGACAGGAGTGTCAATATGTTTCTAATTAAAGATTTCTAAGCTGTCTCAACTGAGGTAGTGTAACCAATGTATAACTTCACTTGTTTATATTTCAGTAAAATCATTGTCCATACTTTATTTGTAAAACTTGTCACTGTCACTTTATTTTTTAGATGCTTTTATTTTGAAAAGTACGTTTTATTTTGGTACTCTTGGTACCGGCACATTTCTGCAGACTCGCGTTGCTTTCCTCAGTTAGCTTCAGGCCCCACTGAGGAGAAGTAAGTGGAACGAGTGGTGTCATAAATGTTGTATTTTATATGTTAATAGATTGTTTAATGTTACACTTCACACAAGCCAAACCTATTTGCAGTTAATATCTATATTTTGCCGTGTGTGACTGTAGTTTATATAATGTGCAGCGCTTCAAACAGTGTTTGGGAGCTTTCTAAAGTTTAGCTATATGCTAACCTAACATGTGCGTGTTTTCTTCCACTGAAGGTGTGAAGTTAGAAAGCTGATGAAACCATTTCCTGCTTTAATTATTATATTCTGTTTTGCACAGGTATGTGGGTATTCTTTTTGTATGTTGTAACTGTAAATTGTATTGTTTGTTATGTAAGTGTAAATTAATGGTTATATTTCAGGGTTTCCCACACATAGACTATACTGGGCGGGCCGCCCAGGTATAATAACGGCCGCCCAAGTATATTTCGCGACCCATTTAGTTTTTTTTTTTTTTTTTCAAATTTTTTTTTTTAATGTTTTTTTTTTTTTATTCGTCCGTGACCACGACGCCATCTGCGATCGATTAACTTGTAGACAATGATCCCTCGCTCCCTTGCTCTGATCTCGCCTCCTTCTGGCCTGTTAAGTGGCCTGCCTCACACAGGGTGACTGGCTGTCCACATGATGCCGACATGGCCACTGTCATACAGATCATAAATCAAAGCCCTTGATTGGTCTCTGTGTGTCATTCAAGCTCGGGATAACCTCAGCTCAGGTGAGGTAAAGCACTCTCTGAGTGTTTAGATAGTTAACTTAGTCTAAGTTCTCAGTGGGTCTCAAACGGTGTGGTCACCATTTATGTAAACACATATTTCCATTTGAGAGGGTAGTGATTGGTCTAATGCAGGGGTGCCCAACCTTTTTTGAACCGAGAGCTACTTTTAAAGTTGCCAGTCTGCCGAGATCTACCAGTCCAAATAGAGAGGCGTAGCCATTACTACCAGGTAAATACACACTTCTACTTGTATAAAACTGACCTTTGTACGATGAATACTTCATAAAATACTGCAGATCCTTTATCTTACCTCTTTCTAATCTACACACATACAAGTATTTAACTGAAGTTACACAACAGTGTTGTTGATACGGAGTTGGAGTTTATTCACACGTCACTACAGTGGGTAATGTTTAAGAAACATTGAACCGTGCTGCCACATATGACACAGGAAAACAAGAAAAGACTCTGAACCCTTTCTTTGCCATTATATACAAATAGTGTTGCTACAAAAGTATAAATTAGGCTTACTAATAAGACAACTCAGATCTGAAGCTACACAGGAATCTGCTGCCAAAGTGCAATAAAAAAGACACAATTAATAGAATCAAACCCTTTTTTTGTTGCATTTTAGTAGAGTATAAAAATAAATGCCTTTAAAATAGGATGCAAGCAACACCAGTTTCTGAACTGATAGACACCCCTGGTCTAATGGATAGTGAGGTGGGCTGAAGATCGGAAGGCTGTGAGTTCAAATCCCGCCAGGAACACCACCACTAGTGTGCCCTTGAGTAAGGCACTTAGCCCTTAGTTACTCCAGGGAGAATGTCCCTGTAATCGGTCATTATAAGTCGCTTTGGATAAAAGCGTCAGCTAAATGAAATGTAATGTGATTTGTAAAATATGCATGAATAAATAAATAAAAAGTTAACTAGGTGAAAAAAGGTAAGATACACTTTTAAAACTTGTTGAGAGAAAACTAGTCTTTGCTGCTGCCTCAAAGAGGAGGGGGGGAGAGGAGGGAGACAGGAGAGGCTGGTTCAGGAGCACAGACACACTCACAACTATAAATGAACCAAAAATAAATTAATAAACAAGTTTCAGTGTTTTTTTCATATTGGAAATGGTATGTTATTGGTTATGGCCTTGATTTTATGATTATTGAAATGTATACAGTTCTGTTTCATATAGGTGTTTCCATAGATCTAGTCTCTTTATTTTCCCCTCAAAATGCACCAGATTGATGCATTTAACTCCAAAATAAAAAATAAAATCTTACCGGGGGGGCATGCCCCTGGACCCCCCTAGAGGATTTGAGGTCGACCCCCACTAAAAATCACATGGATAGGTTCCTAAATACATTAATAAATACATTTATTTTTTTAAATAGTAGCCCATTTCCATATGTTTATTTGTGGGTAGTAGATTTAAACTATAGGGCTATCATTATGGACCCTGCCTGTACCTGTTCGCTCTGCCATCGCGTGAAGGGTCTGCTAACAAGCGACCAACAGAAAGGTTAATGTTGTTGCACGTCACCTCAACCCCCCCCGCTACCACCACCCCCCAAAGTATATTTCAGATCTGTGGGAAACACTGGCAGTTAATGGACCAGCACCAGAGGCATTCCCATACACACAGGCGTTGGAGCTGTTCTTCATGAAATCCCAGAAGGATGAAGTGCTCTGACAAACAGTGCCATCTTTGCGCAAAATGATTATACCGGAATGAAAAGTGAATAAATAATGTTGTTAAAACTTTTTTTTTTTTTTTCGCGCACCCCCCCCTTCCTTGCCACCACCCGCCCAAGTATATTTCATATCTGTGGGAAACACTGTATTTGTGTATATTGGTTTACAAGGAAAAACTGGTTTGCCACCATGGATAGATGTATATCTGTTAATTGTATTATTTAGAACTCTGTATACTTTCCTGAGTTAGCTTCAGGCCCCACTGAGGAGAAGTGTGAAGTTAGAAAGCTGATGAAGCCATTTCCTGCTTTAATTATTATATTCTGTTTTGCACAGAGAATAAATCCTGGTTGGCAAGAAAGAAGTCGTTCTCATTTACACAACATAACACAACGCCGAGATCACATGTGGCGTCAAACCAGACCGGTTACAGTAGCACAAAGAACTTTTGATTTAGTTCTAACTACACAAACGCAAAACCTGTCCAATTCTCTTTTTCAGTCAGTGTCTGTTTTCCTGATGGGATGAGTGGGCCCGTGTACCTTTGATTTATTAATTGAAGTAATTTCAGAGTGACAAAAAAAAGAAAACCAGTCATTTGATCTATTTGGCAATTATTTTTAGTCCAATAAACATGCTTTTAAAATAACCCTAATTCAACATGTTTTACGGTATACAGTGATAAAATAGGGTTAGGGATTATTTATTTAGGGTTATAAAGTTATTTTCTAGATATTTCAACAGGTTTTGAAAAAAGAAAGAAAAAACATGATTGATGTTGTATTTCTTTATGTGCCAAGATCCTTTAAAGGACAGAGTCCAGTGAATCTCTACCTGATACAAACCAAACCACCTCTGCAAGTTTGAGATGAAGCAGGTGAATTTTGAATACTGTAATGCAAATAGGTTTGCTAGTATCAAAGTAGCACTTCTTGACATGGGACCTTCTCCACGTCTTCGTTTCTCGCTCCATGTTTCTTCCACTGATGCATTATCAGGGAGGTTAGACATCTAAGTTGAGAGGTTGTTGCAATGAGATGGAGCTTTAAATTGAAAGGCACAACACTCAATATATTGAGATATAATGCTTGGCATTGGCGGAGGAGATCTGTCCCATTTTTCATGGGCGCAACCCACATACTCAGCTCTGCTCATCATCCCACAAATGCTTGTTCCTCACAAATGTGACACTATTTGAAAGGTAAATAAACGAGAGGGGTCTGCCTGCAGGTCCCCATTCTCAGGACAGTTCCGGTGTAGGCTCCACTCTCAGGACAGGAAGTGACGATTCTGACGAAGATGTTTTTTTCCCCGCCCCCCGAAGGACTCGTCTGATGGAAGTTTTCAAATCACTCATCGCTCACCATGCACTTTGGGTCGGCCTTGGTTAAGCCCTTTCGATGAATACATCACATTGTGACCACGGACCACTATTGCGGTAAGCATGTTGTAACTTCCGGTTGTTGTTGTCATCTCCGGGTATCCCGTGTGCCTGTTCTGTTGCTGATAGCTTATTATCTTAACTTAATCGATCTTTTTAAAACTCTTGATCACGGCAACTGCCTGACGTTGTAATCACACGTTACTACAGCTTAAGCTCTCACAACTCTCCTTCTCTTAGCGACTGTAACTCCACAGTTGCCTACACTCTTTTCGGGTTTGCTAACGGTAGCTACTTTAGCTTGATAGCTAGCCATGGCTCTTTCCCCACCCTCGCGTGCTATTTCCTGCTCTAACTGTCTCATGTTTGGTTACTTCCCTACCTCCTTTACTGGTACCGATACATGTGTTAAATGTAGTATAGTTGTTAGGTTGGAGGCGGGAATCATAGCCATAGAAGCCTGGCTCTGCATCTTAGAAAGTCACTCAGCTACAGTTAAGCCCATGTTAGCCGGTGCGGACCGGCAAAAGGTAGCTCCTATTAGCCGTCCCCCGGCAACTCCCGAGCAGCAGGGAGACTGGGTGACTGTTCAGAAGGGGCATAACGCGAAACCCGCAAGTCCCCACCAACCCGTTCACGTATCTAACAGATATTCCCCACTCAGCGAGACACCCGCTGAGAAGCCAACTCTGGTTATTGGTAGCTCTATTATGAGACACGTGAATTTAGAGACCGAAGCCTCCACAGTCACATGCATTCCGGGGGCCAGAGCGGGCGACGTTGAGGCGCATCCTAAACTGTTGGCTAAAAATAAACGTAAATACAGTTGAATTGTTATTCACGTCGGTGGTAATGATGTTCGTTTACGCCAATCAGAATGCACCAAACTTAATGTGGAGTCGGTGTGTAGTTATGCTAAAACAATGTCGGACACCGTAATCTTCTCTGGTCCCCTCCCCAATCTGATCAATCATGACATGTATAGCCCAGGGTTGCCAACTTTGGGTACCTGGCTGGAGTGAGATTTTGATATCATGGGTGTAATTACACATAGGCGCACGAAATGACTGCTATCGTGTCAGCAGTGGGAACTTAGTATATATATATAGGATATATATACAATATATACAAATACACAATATTGGATACAGACTATAAAGGGCACAACGTTTCATTCACTAATGAAAGTCAAACACATATTGTGTGCCTGTCGCGATAAGCAATTAATTGACTTATCGTACGATAAATAAAAATGAACTCGATACATTTACATTTACATGAGGATGTGACTAGCAGTTAGAAAGGATGTACTTGAATTATTATTATATATTATCATTATGTCAGTGGTCTAAAATGATACAACGGTGCCGACAATATTATCGTTTATCGCAATAATTTCCGGGAAAATGTATCCAACAAAATTAATTATCGTGAGAGGCCTATACATGAAACACACACACACACACAAATCTACAGACTTACTCCAAACTGCCAAACATATTAATTAACACACTCTCACTCTCATATACTCTTTGACTCTATGTTGGCCTAGTAGAACAATAAGCAGCAGACTTTTACTTTTTTATAATTTCTACTGGATCTTAGATCTGCGCATGCGCAATACGAGTATTTTTGTTGGGTAATCTATGGTAGGGCTAACCCATACAGTGGTGGGGCTCAAGTCAGTATTTGCAATGTAATTACATACACGCTCCCCTTGACAGTGAAACGCCACGCGTGAGGTTTAGATTATTTCCCTGTCTCAATCCAAATTGAACTGGATGAAATAAAAAGGCACATTTGTCTTGTAGTAAATAAAAAGGGCGACCTGGAGCCAATCCTGCAACTTCCCCACAGGTGAAAGAGTTGACTTGCTGAAAACCCAACCCCTGCAGGGGGGTCTGGGGGGATTCTCCCCCAGGAGATTTTTTGAAATACTAACATAAAATACACATTCTGGTACTCTCTTGAGAAGAAAAATAAATAAATCTATTAAACATTTCAGGGCTTTATGGACTTAATCCATGACAAACTGGAGTTGAGACCAGGAGGCGGAGTCGCAGTCTTACACGCTTCTCTGCGCTCTCTCCTAGGCAGTCATCCATGGGAATCCCGAACCCAATAAAATACCCAATATTAACGGTGTGTGTGTGTGTCTACCCAAGGACAAGTTAAGGTAAAACCTAATAGAGGTGTCATACATAATAACCTAATAAAAGTAAATGTAACAACGACTACAGTGCAACAAAACAGGAAGATTAAATGTGGTCTCTTAAACATAAGATCTCTAGCATCTAAAGCAATATTGGTAAATTATTTAATATCAGATTATAATATTGATATATGCTGTCTCACTGAAACTTGGTTGAGACATGAAGAATATGTCAGCATAAATGAGGCCACTCCACCCAGCCATATCAATACTCATATTGCCCGAGGCACGGGCCGAGGAGGTGGAGTTGCAGCCATCTTTGACTCAAGTTTACTTATCAATACTAAACCAAAATTAAATTATACCTCCATTGAAAGTCTTGTTTTTAGTCTTACGCATCCGACCTGGAAAACTTTGCAGCCAATCTTATTTGTTACAGTGTACCGTGCACCAGGTCCTTATTCAGAATTCTTATCTGAATTCTCTGAGTTTTTATCAACTTTGGTTCTTAAAACAGATAAAGTAATTATCGTAGGTGACTTTAATATTCATGTTGACGATGATAAAAATAGCCTTACTGTTGCATTTAACTCTATATTAGATTCTGTTGGTTTTTGTCAGTGTAAATAAACCAACCCAATGCTATAATCACACTCTCGACCTTGTTCTGACTTATGGTATTGAAATTGAGCAACTATTAGTCGAACCGCATAATCCTGCTTTATCCGTCCATTTCTTAGTAACTTTTGAAGTACTGTTACGAGACTACAAAGCATTAGTCAAAAGCTCCTGCAGCAGAAACCTATCTGTTAGTGCTATAGCCAAATTTAAAGGTGACATGTCATGCTTTTCCGGTTATTACCCGTCCCCTTGTGTGTTATGAAGGTTTTTATGCATGTAAATGGTGTGCAGAGTCAAAACCCTCAAAGTACACCATGTAGCGAGTAAACTCTAACGGTACGTCCACACAGCAGCTTTAAACAAATCTTCCAACGCTTCCAACGCTTCTCTGCCCATTGACTTTGAATGGGGATGACGTCACTTTGCCTCACTTTTCGCCGAACTGCATTGTGGGGGAGCGAAGCGAAGATTTTCAGGATTTTCAGGATTCAAAAGTGGAGCAATGTTCAACTTTTGAAGCTGAGCTGGAAGCGTCAGCCAATCAAATCCCGTTTATGCAAATCTGACAGTACAAGCGCTAGCCAATCAAACCACGTGTATGCTGGGAGAGCCAGACCGCAGTTCTGTTCCTCATATTCCAAACGAGAAATTACGGTAGCAAATCACCCGGTTCTTTACGACCAGACTATTTACCGGGATACAAACCGGAGGAACCAGGCATGGAGGGAGGTGGCAGAGACAGTGGGTGAAACTGGTAGGTTTTCGCCTGTTTGGGGAGTTTATATATATATATATTGCTCGCATAAAATCCCTGGGGTTTTTTGCTTTGTATGTCGGTGGCGGGAGATTCATGTGATTGGTTGTTGGTCGCGTTGCTCGCAAAAAATCCCCAAGCTTTCAGACACGCCCAGCTCCAAGATTTTTTCAAAGCTGCTGTGTGGACGTACCGTAACACAGAAAATACCTCCCCAAAATGCCTCGTTGGAGATACGTCACTGTCCATTTGATTCTTCCGGGTACATCATGATGTCATGTCGTCCCCGGAACTAAATGGACCAATCCGTGGAGCCGTTACGTTACGTCCGCGGAGCCGTTACGTTAAGCCCCCGCTGACTGGTCCAAATTGACCAATCCACGGACTTCCTCACACACTCAGTGCAGGCAGCTCTGCTGATTTCTCCTCCCTGGCTGCAGGCTGATAACAGACAGTTGGGATCGCGGCAAAATTCTCTCTGCAGACCCATTCTCTCTGCAGACCCATTCTCACAGCGTTTATCAACCCTTTTCTTACTCAATATCAAGCCACACTTATTGTTTTTACTTCGGCTGTGACTTTGTGTGTGCTCAGGATGAGTTTGGCTGTGTATCGCTAAACATGGAAATCACACCTCCACGGAGCTCAGCGTGATTCACAACGTCCCGACTGGTCCCGACCAATCAATTCAATCAAGCCTGATGAAATTAATCATCTAAATAAAATTCACGGCTGCCTCAAGGACTTAAAAACGTGGATGACCTTACATTTTTTGATGTTTTTGTATTGTACTTGGCCCGAAGAATCTACGAAACAAATTATCTAAAGATATAATAACTATGGATGGCATTAATTTGGCCTCCAGTGAGACTGTAAGGAATCTTGGTGTTATATTTGATCAGGATTTATCCTTTAACGCCCACATAAAATCAATTTCAAGGACCGCCTACTTCCATCTACGTAACATTGCAAAAATCAGGCATATCTTGCCTCAAAACGATGCAGAGAAACTAGTCCATGCATTTGTTACTTCAAGGCTGGATTATTGTAACTCCTTATTATCAGGGTGTACCAAGAAGTCAGTCAAGTCGCTTCAGCCGATTCAAAATGCTGCAGCTCGTGTACTAACCAGAGTTAGGAAAAGGTACCACATTACTCCTGTTCTGGCTGCCTTACACTGGCTCCCTATAGAACACAGGATAGAATTTAAAATTCTTCTTCTCGCCTACAAAGCCCTTAATGGGCAGGCGCCATCTTACCTTAAAGAACTCATTATACCCTACTGTCCTACTAGCAGGGCTGGGCATTTTCCCGGTGGGCCGACGTGCCTTTTGGGCCGACACGTCATTTTTTTTTTTTTCTGAAGTCCTGGCCCATAAAACGGGTAGATTGGCCCTCTGTTTAAATGTTTTTAGTAATTGACACTGGGCCGGCCCAATCAAATCTTTAATCACCTCCCCCTTTGGGCCGCTCGGTGTGCATCATTAAATCACGCCCCCAGGAGGTGAGCCGGCCGTTGAAGCCAAACTGCCTTTTTTTTCGAGAAAAAAAAAAGTTCGAGTTAGAAATGGCGAAGGCGAAGGCCAAGCGAAAAGGGGGAGCAGAAAAATTGCGGGCAAGAAAAAAAGCAGGCCCTTCGTGCTGATGCTGCCACTTGTGTCAAAATAACCGACATGTTTAGTACAGGTGCAGGTCCATCTTCTTCTAACCCGTGGCCGATATTGGTGGTGAGGAAGATGATTCATTTCATTTCAAACCTTGATGAGAGGGAGAGAGATCAGCGCGAGTGGGGAGAGGGAGGAGAACTCGCTATAAGCAGAAGCTAAGAAAATTAGGAAAAGATTATTATTAAGGTTATGATACTCTGTAGTTCTGAAACGATGAATATCCCTTTGATGAAGCACTAATAAGACAAATATTATAAGAGAAACATTCGTTTGCCTACAAGCTAGTAAGCTGGCTTTTTTAGGTTTTCCCTGGCAAGTTAAAATATAGCTTAGTGGGACTCTGATACATTGTCTCATTGAAAGTTAACCAACATTCATGAACAATTACTGTCAGCTGGCAGCTTGTTTTGTTTAGTTTATTTACTTATTTGGTTATAAGGGCAACAGTGGTCTTTTGGGACCTGAACAATTTTTTTATAGTCAGCTTTTTTTTTGTGGTAGTTTTGATTGACAATATATAGAATGAATAATATAGAAATAGATAAAAAATGGAGGCACACATGTAGTTTTGACCATTAACTGTGTGGTATTGTTATGTCAATGCCTATTTGTATGGACCTCTATCAGGGAATCCATTAATTCTGTATCATTGTGTTGAGCCAGGTAGCATCCCCAGAGGAGGATGTCAGCGAGAGTGAGGAGAGCAAAGAGCAGGAGGACATAGATTACTTTGCCCGCCCTGAGCCATCTATGTTACAGATGTTTTTAGAACAGCACCCACAACAACATACCAGAAATCCAGTTGTGCAGAAGGTATTCACCTGTAAAGATGGCACCAGCAGAAAGTGGCTTACATATTGCAAGGGACGTCATATGTTGTTTTGTTTTTTATGTCTGGCATTTAGGAAGAGGACTGACACTGGCACATTTCTAACTGGAATGTCAGATTGGAGGCACGCACACCAGCGTACAGAGGAGCACGAAAAGAGCATTACACATTCAACCTGTGCTGAAGCTTTTTTCTTACGGTGCTCTAAAGCAGACATCAAAAGCATGTTTGCTGGCAGTCAGATGTCTGCTCATATGGAACAAGTCCGAAAGAGATGTCAGGTTTTGGAGCGCGTGGTGGATGTGGTGAAAGTGCAGGCAGGTGGAGAATGAGGGAGCATATATGCTAGCTGACAACACCGTGGACCACGGTAACTTTTTGGAGCTCATCCTTTTATTAGGAAAGTATGATGTCTGCTTAAAAGAGCATCTGGATGATTGCGTAGAGAAGAGCAAGAAATTGCACCAATCCAGTGGAACAAAAGGTAGAGGGTCTCTCATCCCCCTACTCTCCAAAACTACTGTTAACTCCATAATAGAAACTGTTGGTAGTCTAATCAAAGAAAGTATCTCCAGTGATGTCCAGAAGGCCGGAATGTTTTCTGTTCAGCTGGACACAACACAAGACATAACTTCTCAGGATCAGTGTTCAGTAATCTTAAGATATGTCAATGAGACTGTGCAAGAGAGGCTTGTGGCTTTAGTGAAGTGCCATGCATCCACTGGACAATACTTTGTGAACTTGCTCTCAGAGGTCTTAGAGCATCTGAAACTGGACAAGGGCATGTGTATAGGTAATGCAACAGATGGAGCATCCAATATGCAAGGCCGGTACAAAGGATTTTCTGCACTGATGACCTCCCAGTCACCCACTCATGTCCATGTGTGGTGCTATGTTCATGTTCTTAATCTTGTCCTGGCTGAAACTACCCAAACTGTCATCGAATGTGGAACACTTTTCAACCTAATCAATGGCATAGCAGTGTTTATCAGGGAGTCATATCAGAGGGTCAATCTGTGGGAGAAACAAGCCCAAGAAAAGATGCCGTCGACTCATCCTGTAGACTCATCTGGTCCCTTCTCTATTGTGTTGTCATAGAAAGAGGAGGCAGGGCACTATAGGGCCCCCCCCCCCCCCCCCCTAAATTCACTAGAAGTCATCATTTAAGGGGTTATTTTTAAAACTTTTCTTCTGGGGGGGGGCATACCCCCCCAGACATTACATTACATTACATTGCATTTAGCTGAGGCTTTTATCCAAAGCGACTTACAATAAGTGCGTTCCACCAGGAAGACACAACCTTGAAGAAAACAGAATAATATAAGTACATCAGGTTTTATAGAGCCAAACATTTCAAGTGCTACTCAACTGGCTTTAGATAAGCCAGTCCTTTATTAATATATAAGTGCTTTGTTAGTAATTCTATCGCTCGAAGTGGAGTCGAAAGAGATGCGTTTTCAGTCTGGAAGATGTGTAGGCTTTCTGCTGTCCTGATTTCAATGGGGAGCTCATTCCACCATTTTGGAGCCAGGATAGCAAACCCACGTGTTTTTGCTGATGGGAACTTGGGTTGGCCTACCTGCCTGTCAGCCTTCCATCTGTGCACAAACTTATCTCGTGCCCTCATTGGTCATGTTCGTGTGTGTTGGAGGAGGGGCTCTGTAAGGAAGTCTGAAGTTGGTGCATCATGGAATGTGGCTCATTAAAAAATAAGTACAGCTCTTATCTCCCTCTTGTATAACTGGTTGGCCCCACCTGCAGCAGGTAAACCAGGGTTGCCAACTCTCATGGCTGGATGGCTCTCGTGTGACACTCACTTTCACTCTCAATCTCACACTCTCACGCTGCCCAAACTATTCTCACGCCCAAAACAAGATGAACCGGTGATCGTTTTTGGTTGGTTATTTACAATGTTGAGTTGACAGCTGCTCAAGCTGTTGATCCGCTCCCTCCCCGCCTCCACCACCATCAGACCCCCCTATTAGTGCTCGGTCACTGTTCGCTTTGTGAGAGGGTTTGAAGGTCTAATTTATAATGATTGATAGTTACACATACTTGTGGTATGTATTAGTTTAGTTTGCCCCTGGTACGTAAAAAGGATAATAATAATAGCGTTTTTTTAAATTATACTGAGTTATTCTTCTTGTCAGGAACCGCTACTATTCGTTTGTTTTATGGATTTGGGCCGGTCCGATCTTAAGACCTTCCTTTTTGATAAGGCAAGGCAAGGCAAGGCAAGGCAAGTTTATTTATATAGCACTTTTCAACACAAGGCAATTCAAAGTGCTTTGATAAAGCTTATAGTTAGGGCTGATTAGATTCAGATAACGGATTTTGACCATTTTTGTTGCATTTTTCTCCTCTCACTGATCGAATGGCAAACGCGACCCACCATCGGAGGGCCTCCCGGAGCTTAGAGTCGAGCTCTTGTTCTTCTTGTTGCAGGTTGCCTGAATAATGTTGCTGGGATTATTGAAATGTATTGTGGTATGGATTCGTGGTACAAGACCAAAAGAAGCTAATATTAGAGTTATTCTGCTCCCTCATCAAAAAAGTACAGCAGAGGATGTTCTTCCTGAGGCAGCTGAAGAAATTCAACCTGCCAAAGACAATGATGGTGAACTTCTACACCTCCATCATCGAGTCCATCCTCACCTCCTCCATCACCATCTGGTATGCCGCAGCCACAGCCAAGGATAAGGGTAGGCTGCAGTGTGTCATCCGCTCTGCAGACAAGGTGATCGGCTGTAATCTGCCATCCCTCCACGACCTACATGCCTCCAGGACCCTGAGGCGGGCAGGGAAGATAGTGGCCAACCCCTCCCACCGTGGACACAAACTGTTCACCCCCCTCCCTTCTGGCAGGAGGCTTGTTATGGAAATCTGAGACCCAACACTGTGGAGAGTACAAGTCAGAGTGATCAAAACAAATAAATGGTGAATCAGACAGAGTTGTCTTTCTGGTTATTTATTTGAAGCTTCAAATGCATGAGATACAATAAAAATAGACACAGGTCTCACAGAGTATAGAATAGTCTGCGCGAGTGTGCGCAGATATAATAGGAAAGCAAAGCTTATATACAAGAAAGAGTGGGAAGTTCAGAAATCTGTCTTCACACGGTCATATTGTTATTAGACACCTGTCCTTGAGCTCTAGATAGTATAACGGGAAAAGGGAAGTTCTTGTGTGACTTTGTGTGAGTCTCAACCTAGTAGCCAAATCAGCTCTGTGGCCTTGAAGTGTGGCCTTGAAGTGCTTGGGAATAAACCCACAGTGGAGTATAAGAAGAAAACAGCACATCTCAGGAAATGATATAGGTGTTTTACAATGTGTTGAGAAGCATTTCCACTACAGGCTGCACTCCATCGGGACCAAAACCTCTCGCCACCTGAACAGTTTCTTCACCTGCGCTACCGGCCTCTTAAACAAGGCCCGGCCCCCCCACTGACACTTTACCTCTGCCACATCATAGACTATATGCATTACATTAATGCACACAATGTTCATACTCCTTTCTGCACATATTCTTATTTCACATTTCATAGTTTATATTCTAAAATTCATTCATAGCATTCTATTTCCATGTAAATTACTGCTTTATTTGTATTGCTATTTAACTATATATTTCATTACGGTGTAAAATATTTTTTGTTTTATTTTAGATTTCTTGTTTTTTATATTTTATGTATGCACCATGACATCAAGTCAAATTCCTATTATGTGCGAACCTACCTGGCAATAAACCTGTTTCTGATTCTGATTCTGATTGTGATTTGTGTCACATAGATAACAGGCGCTGTGGAGATGCACATGTGTGTGACACGTGTTGTTTTAGGGTTATAGACATGTTATATGGGTACATCTGGAGTATATAGTGAGAATACAACTCAACACAAACAACCAGCAGTTGTGAAACCTTGTTTGAACTCTTTTAAACTCCTGGGCTCATTGTGTTTAGTGATCCGACCGCATTACTATGTGTTACTTTCACATTGAATGACGTAGCTAAGCACGCTTGAGCCTGATGAAGATAAACAGTGAAGATACTTCCTCTTGTGAAACTATTTAAGCAGCTCCATCCAGCCGAGGATTCAATCGTCCAGCTGACTGATCGAAGTGGGACAGATCGCTGCTCGCTCGCCTACAAACACGTAAGTAGTAAGAAGATATTCGAGCATAGGACTCACCGTATGTGTTGTCTTTTAACTGTAATACTTCTTGTATTTTTAGTAAACAACGAGACAATAAGGTGAAGATAAACGTTTTTTTAATTATTGTTCACCTTTCTCCATCCATGTCAGTTCAGTTAATGATATGAGTTGTTATAAAAATGTCTCCACGTTAGTAACTCTGCTGCTGTTGGGTCTTTATCTTTAAATGCGAAACAAGGAAGTGCAGCTTCAAAGGCCATGACTGGGTCCTTTTTAAATCTTCAACTCTTCTTATAATGAACCTATTCCTTATATTTAATTTGGATGGTTATTTGACATATATCATTTATTATAAAGTGGATTTCAACTTACACCTGGTATTTGATTTCAGTTTTGAGGGAGACTAAACTAATTGAGTTTTGTTTCTTAAACAAACAATAACTTCCTTACTTAAATATTCTCCTTATCCCGCTCTAAAGCATGACCACCACTCCCCTGATCCTTCTCACGATTGCTTTTGCCTTTGTTCCTGTAAACAATCCACAACCTAATTTATCTTGGCATCACATTTTGTTTGCGTTTTAGTAATTAATTGGACTTCCACGGGGGTTTCCAGACAACCAACAAGGAAGGAGGATATAATGAATGATCTATTATTTTTTTCTAGCCAGGCAACAAGGAAGGAGGATGTCGTTTATCATGTAACTCACAACCATTGATTGTAATCTTTGATACTACAATGACAAACTATGGTACTAAAACTTTCGAGGCTGTCTGAATGAATGCATATGTTTATGGGTTTGGTTAATATACGTATACTGTTCCTGGAGCTTAGAGTCGATCTCTTGTTCTTCTTGTTGCAGGTTTCCTAAATAATATTGTTGGGACTATTGAAATACTTTCTTCGCCTTCTTACGTCTAAGAGGCTGAACATGTGTTGTGGTATATGGTGCAAGATTAGTGGTATAAAACCAAAATAAGCTAAAAGTAGAATTAATATTAGACTTGCTAATATTGTGATTTGTGTCACATAGATAACAGGTCCTGTGGAAATGCACATGTGTATGACACGTGTTGTTTTAGGGTTATAGACATGTTATATGGGTACATTTGAAAACATATTGAAGAGTGTTTTAATTGTAACACTTAAGGTTTACAGTAAATTACAGGTTAACGCACAAACATTCGGAAGGTAAAAAATATGCTTTTTTTTACACATTAATACATTATTGTATGTTCAAACATTAACAAATAAAACCTTTCTTACTTATATATTTATCTTTCTCCCACTCTAGACAAGATGAACAGCACTGTCTTTATCATCGTCATGATCATTCTTGCCCTTGTTGATGGAACAAAACCTCCTTGTCTGACAGACACAAACCTAAATCCGTACGACAGATTTCTTTGCAGACACGTCATTCAGGAGAGCATTGGTGACAAAACAGATAGGGCTGCCTGGGAAAGGTGAGTTAAATAGTTAAGTCAATACGTTTATTTAGAAATGCATTTGCATAACATGGAGATTCATATTAACTGCATTTAAAGGCAGGACTGTTTCATTTAGGTACCACACTACTGATTCAGTCATAAGTGTTGTACTTTATCAATGCCATTTACTTTGCAGTGAAACAATGATCTTGTTTATACAGGTACATAACGAAGTATGGCCTCTGCAACAGACCTACTCAGTCCTTCATGGTGAATCAGCAAGCTGCCGATAAGATCTGTCAAGGCTATGGCAAGCCAGTGTCCTATACATGTAGTAACGAAGAGAACTTATGTACCAGTAACTCACGCATTCGCCTTTACCATATTGAACTCGATTCCAATTGCAGGGTTACAAATCTATATGATAATCCATACTTTGTGGTTGTGTCTTGTAAGAAAGTGGATAACAAATGCCGTCCTGTCCATTTTGAGAGGTACGACATAAAAAAGCGAGACTGGACAGCTCAACCCTGTCGTTCTTAGGAGAGTGAAATTGTTTTTAGAGGGGTTAGAAGACATTGGATTCCAGTTGAAACCTCTGTCAAGCTTAGCTTAATTAGGCCTTTTTGTGAAAACATGTTATTTCTAATGCTGCATTATAACATATATTACTTATTTACATTATAACTTGTGGCTACATGGATTTACACCTACATGTACAGCTAAAGTTTATTTTCAATTTAACCAGAAATAGTGCACACACGTTTGTTGAAAGTGTATCGTCCTCTTACCTCAGAATTAATTGGTTGCTTGTCTATATTAAACTGTTGGCTATCTTTTGTGACGTGTGTACTTTCTCTGTTACTGAAAGTGTTTGTGAAGCTGTATTCAAATCCTGTTTGTGTTGCTTTAAATGTTGTCAAATAAATGGCTTGAAGCATCAATCAATATTCTCACGAGTAATATGTACTTTTGTGCGATACAGAAACATTTCCACCTCTTCATTTAGTAGTTTTCTGACTTTCAGCTCATTGTTTTAGTGTTAAGGCAAATGTAAGTACAACAGAGAAAGTAGAAACTATTTGATGAACACTGTCAAGCCTTAACCTTGTTTTATTGCTCAAAAAATGAACTCAAGATTAATGGTGACATTTTTTTAATTGTTTTTTTTTTTTTTATGAATCATTTGGCTGCTTTTATATGTTTTTAAATGATGACTTGTTAATTATTTACATCCCCTTTGAAACAAGGCTCATGTTGCAATGAGGAAATAGTATTTACTTCATATTCTGCCAGGTAACCAATCAGCGTTATTATCCAGGTAATAGAAAATAAGGAAATACTAATATATGTTCTGGAAAATGAATGTTGTCATTAATATGGAGTCAAAGATTGAAAATGTTTTAGTATTACAGTGACCTCACTAAACAGATGTATATGTATTGCACCTTTCAACAACATGGCAATTCAAAAGACTGAATGGGTGTAAGAAATTAAAGACAAGTAACTAAGGGCGACTCAAAAGAAAAATGTATACCCAAAATCATTTAACATTATTCTCCTGATCATCAAAATGGATGCCAAAGGTGACAGAAGTGTGAATATTAATCAAAGATGACATGGACGGTATATTTCTCAACCGGCTGCAGAGAGAAAGGCTGAAGATGAAGAAGATGAAGTTGGCCTCCAAAGCACCGGGTACATGTTATCGCTCATGGACGTCTTGGTTCACAGTTTTTACCTCAACAGGCACAAACCACATTCCAGCTGATGAGGTTTAATGCAAGGACCCCAGGTTCAACTTCTTGTGAGGAACTGACGCTTTCTGCTTGAGAGGAACTTGTTCTGGAATATTTACACAGATTATGGTTTCAGATTATGATTTCCTGCTCTGTTGCTGTGAAGTTGCAGAGGCACTCTTTTATAAGCAAGATAAATAACATTGCTATTGGAATTGACACTTCTAGAAGTGAGTGAGAAATATTTGGAAAAAGAAGAAGAAAAGTGTCAGCATGTGACAAACACTGTATATGTAAAGGAGGGGGGAGGGGGGGAAATGTAGGAAGAGAGAAAGGGTTCTTCTAAATCGGGTAGAGAGCGTGATGGGCAATCAAGAGCCAAACTACTCAAGTTTAAAAGGTTCAAATAATTTATTATTGGACATAAAAACTTCACTAAAAACTAAAACTACTTAAAGCACAATCAAAACAATGTCACAAGCGAAAAGGGCTTAAAAGTATTTTATTTAACATCCAGGCTCACGATGAGGGGGGAACACTTCTGCACACCGCCCGCTCCTCCAGCTCTGCTCCCACTCTAAAAACAGACAAACAGCATTCACTTGTCTTTTAAGGACAAATCAGGTCTTTCGTTGGACAGTAGTTACTCAGGAAATAAGGGCTCTAAACTCTGCCCTCTTCTGTCCTTGGCTTCACGCTCTGGACTGCCGTTTGTCTCTTGATATGTTCTCTCTGCTCGGCTGCGTCTCCTCCTGTCTTCTTCCTTTGTGCTCCTGCTCTCCTGGGTTCTCTCTCCACTTATAGGTCGGCCATGATTGGCCCCAGGTGCTGCTAATCGTCCCAGTCATCATGGTGGAAGTAGGTTAAAACATTTCAGAATAAAAGCATGCTTAAAAGTAAAACCAGATAAACTTCAACAGTGCAAACACTTCAGAATAAAAGCACACAATAAAATCATAATAAAAAGTATGAAACACACAAAAACCAAGCAATATAATTAAAATACTTCGCCATGTGACATACACACCTGGTATTTCCTCACACACAGTAAGTAATGCTTATGGGTTTCCATCTGTGGCACCTGTGACATCTTTGGTCAACACTTGATGGCAGACTTTCTTCATTTACTGTCTATCATTACTACAGAACCCATTGTTTATAAGTCCTGTGCTATTAGGCCTTTTTATTAACATATGCCCAATTGGACATTCCTCATAAAATTGCACTTATAATCAGATATTGTCCATCCAGATGTTATTACAATCATCACCGGTGCTATGCTCACAGCATATGACTGGCCACTGGTTCATTAATGTAAAGGTTACTTAAAATCTGCACATTAAGCTTCAGTAAAAACACCAGGAGAGACCATGAGAAAAGAAAGAGACACATATTTATTTCTCTAGGTATCCTTAACCATGTGTTAATGTATTTTTCTCTAAAAGTAAATGTAGCAGGTTTCATTTCACCACATATCTATATTTCATGTAACATAAACATTTTGTTTTCACTGTTTTTACTTCTCGTCTGTTAAATCATTTTATCATCATGAGTCTCTAAATGTTTCTGTCTACTGATGATCAAGTTATGTATTTAATTCCCTTATTCAACATGTCTTAAGGTATAAAGTGAGAGGACATAGGGTTAGGGATCATTTATTATTATTAAGGGTTATAGAGCTATTTTCTAGATATTTTCAGAGGTTTGTTAAAAAATACAAGAATAAAACATGATGGATGTTGTGTTTCTTTATGTGCCAAGATCCTTTAAGGGACAGAGTCCAGTGAATCTCTATCTGAAACAACTCGAGCCACCTTTGCCAGTTTGAGATGAAGCAGGTGAGTTTTGAATACTGTGATGCAAATAGGTTCGCTAGTATCAAAGTAGCACTTCTTGACATTTGAATAAATGGGACCTTCTCCACGTCTTTGTTTCTCGCTCCATGTGTCTTCCACTGATGCATTATCAGGGAGGTTAGACATCTAAGTTGAGAGGTTGTTGCAATGAGATGGAGCTTTGAATTGAAAGGCACAACACTCAATATATTAAGATATTCAGGAAACAGAAAACAAGAAACTCACTGTCAACTTTGCAGCATAATGAATTTATTAAAGCAATGATTGAAGAAGACATTGTTAGACTTGATTTTATGATTTAATGAGCAACAGCTTTGTGTTTCATTACATTTGAACATGTCATGGTGATAGATATTCAGTTTAAAGAGAGCTCAGAACTTTGTCAGCCCCCCTCAAGCAGGAATGACTACAGAAATACAGATTCTCACATTTCAGTGACCAAAAAACCACTGAAGGTTGTATGATGGTCGGTCCCCCAAACATGCGTGTTTGCAAGCAGGCGCACGTACACCTGGTCTCCTTGAACAAGCTGCAGGAACACTGCGTTTCCTCCATTGTCAGCCCGGTCAGAGGTTGAAGGGAAATCATGTGTATATATAATCAACTCATTGTTCTTGTAGAGCAGTAACTTAGTGCCATGGTCCCATCCAGCATGAAAGAAGATGGTGAAGTAATAAACACCTGGAACCGGGGCAACAAAGACACCTGTGGAAACAACAGGGTGTTGGTCACATCAATGCATTTTAAGACCTCTAAACAGGATGGGAGTAGTATTACCTGTGGATGGACTGTAGGCACCACCAATGTTTGTAATCAAGGTCCTGTAGATTAAAGTTGTGTCTGTGTTGAAGGGTCCAATGTGATTCTCTCCTCCTCCTGTTGCTGCACTGAATACGACCGTCTTCTTTTCTATACAAAGCAAAACAGTGTAACCATATTATTATTATTGTAATTATTATTTTGTGCAGTATTTACTTATTTTTTTAATCACCCAACATTATTTTACACTGATACCTTTTAATCGTAAAGTTTGACTTTACCTTTGTTCAGTTCAAGAATCTGTTTTTCACGCTCCGTCAGTCTGGTTTCGGTGTCCTTCAGTCTGGTTTCGGTGTCCTTCAGTCTCGTTTCAGTGTCCATCAGCCTTGTTTCACTATCTTCCATCCTGGTCTCCATAACTCTTAATTTCTCACTTACTGCACTAAACTCTCTCAGGAGTTTGCACATGTCAGGAAAGCATTCCTTTGTATCATGATGATAATCTAATATAGTAGTATTACCATCATCCTGGGCTGAAATCAGGCCGCAAAACAGCGACACAATCAGTAAAATGGTCAAACTCATCTTCAAGTTGATACAAAGTCGCTCAGTCCCCGAACTCTGAATGATGGGATCCCTCTGGCTGCTTTTATATGTTTATAAATCATGACTTGTTAATTATTTACACCCCCTTTGAAACAAGATTCATGTTGCAATGAGGAAAGAGTATTTACTTCATCTTCTGCCAGGTAACCAATCAGCTTTATTATCCTATCATAAAGCAGGCGATAGAAAATAAGGAAATAGTAACATTTAAAATGAATGTGTTGGGGTCAAAGATTGAAAACGTCCCAGTTTTACAATGTTCTTACAAGACAGATTTATTTGAATTGCACCTTTCAACAACAGGGCAATTCAAAAGACTGAAAGGGTATAAGACATTTAAGAAAGTATTGCAAACAAGTAAAACAAGGCGGCTGAGAAGAAAGAACCCATAACCAAAATCATATAACATATTATATTATTACATTGCATTTAGCTGACGCTTTTATCCAAAGCGACTTACAATAAGTACATTCGACCAGGAAGACACAACCTTGAAGAAAACAGAATCATATAAGTACATCAGGTTTCATAGAGCCAAACATTTCAAGTGCTACTCAACTGGCTTTAGATAAGCCAGTCCTTAGTTAGTATAGAAGTGCTTTGTTAATAGTTCTATCGCTCGAAGTGGAGTCGAAAGAGATGAGTTTTCAGTCTGCGCCGGAAGGTGTGTAAGCTATCTGCTGTCCTGATGTCAATGGGGAGCTCATTCCACCATCTTGGAGCCAGGACAGCAAACCCACGTGTTTTTGCTGATGGGAACTTGGGTCCCCCTCGCAGCGAGGGTGCAGCGAGTCGTTTGGCTGATGCAGAGCGGAGTGCACGCGCTGGGGTGTACGGTTTAACCATGTCCTGGATGTACGAAGGGCCAGATCCATTCGCAGCATGGTAAGCAAGTACCAGTGTCTTGAAGTGGATTCTAGCAGTTACCGGAAGCCAGTGAAGGCAGCGGAGGAGCGGAGTGGTGTGGGAGAATTTAGGAAGGTTGAAGACCAGACGAGCCGCTGCATATATTATGCCAATATTTCTCCCAATAATCCAAATGTATACCAAATGTGACCGAAGTGTCAGAAAGCTCAAAGGACTTTTGATTTAGTTCTGACGACACAAAGAAAGAACCTGTCACCAAAGCATAATGTGAGAGTTAGCGCTCATGCAGGCCTTGGTTAACAGTTTTAACCACAACAGACAGAAACCACATTCCAGCAAAGGAAGAAGGAACCCTTAATCGTCCCACAGAGGGGACATGTACCATCATTTGACCCCCCCACACTAATTTTACCTGCATGCCGATTTTAAACAAAGTCAACCTCTGTACTTTTAGCCGGATGTTTTTAACCCACTTACCAGGTCTTTTACCAGATGTTGTGGGACACAGCCTCGGACACCCCACCGGGGGAGCAGGAGTACATGTTTTAACCCCGCCGCATACGCTCTGTGCTTCAGCCGCTGCTCTCTTCTGTCCCTTTTAATGCACTTTCTTTATTTCATTTAAAAAAATGTAACACTGACCAAACAGGGTTTTTATAAACTTGTATTGGTTTTATTACGGGAATTTTGAAATGGTTAAGTCAATACGTTTATTTAGAAATGCATTTGCATGAGATGGATATTCATATTAAATGAAGCTCAGCGCAAGTTCTTTCAGGAAGACTGGATATATACATTCACTCCGCAGCTGCATATAATCAGCTCATCACGCCGTTGTCTATAACCCATTACATTCACCTCATTCTCCAGCAGCCAATCACTGTGCTGCAGCCAAACTTTAAAATGGTTCTCCTCTCTCCTGCAGTCAGCTGTGATTTCAGGTGTTCATTCTGCCGCCCGCCTCCTCCACATCACGCCTCCTTTCATCACATCCAGTGCCAGGAGAGTTAATCCAAAGACCTCATCATACCTCCTCTTCATCCCATCTCGTCATCAAATCCAGATCTTCAGCATCATGACCAGTGTCTAGACCCCGGGGGGTTCCCTATATGCTCACGGCTGCATTTCCCCCTTTAGATATACCATTTCAGGATCGGGGTCTAATCGCCAAAGACTTAACATTTATCATATGACATGTGTCAATAAATGTTCTTTAAACAAAATGAAGTCTCTCTTGATTGAACTGCATTTTAAGGCATGACTGTTTCATTTAGGTACCACACTACTGATTCACTCATAAGTGTTGTACTTTATCAATGCCATTTACTTTGCAGTGAAACGATGATCTTGTTCAAACAGGTACATATGGGAATATAACCTCTGCGACAGACCTACTCATTCCTTCATGTCGAGGCGCAACTTCCGAAAGAAGCATTTCTGTCAACTCGATACATGTGAAGGGAACTTATGTACCAGTGTCCCACTCGTGTATTGAAAAGCAGTTGATAAGATATAAGGAAATTATAATGGGACTTTATTTTTATTATCATTAATATGGGGGTCAAAGATTGAAAATGTCTCAGTTTTACAATGATCTTAAATAACAGGTTTATCTGTATTGCACCTTTCAACAACAGGGCAATCCAAAGGGCTTTGTGTTAGGCTATAAAGACAATATTAGAAAAAAGATATAAAAGGCGACTCAAAAGAAAAATATATCACCAATATATAACATTATTATCCTAATAACCAAAATGGATACCAAATGTGACAGAACAGGCAATATGCTTCGATAAGTGGCTTTATTATTCTACTGTAAAGCAGTTGATAAGAGATGAGGAAATAATAATGAGAAATCATTTTTATTATCAATAGTGTTGGGGTCAAAGATTGAAAACGTCTCAGTTTTACAATGATCTTACAAGACAGATTTATTTGAATTGTACCTTTCAACAAAAACAGGGCAATTCAAAAGACTGAAAGGGTATAAGACATTTAAGAAAGTATTGCAAACAAGTAGCACAAGGCGGCTGAGAAGAAAGAATATATAAACAAAATAATATAACATTAAACTCCCATTAATCAAAATGTGTCAATATGTTTCTAATCTAAGATGTCTCGACTGTGAAAGCTCAAAGGACTTTCGATATAGTTCTGACTATACAAAGAAAAAACCTGTCACCAAAGCATAATGTGAGAGTTAGCGCTCATGCAGGCCTTAGTTAACAGTTTTAACCACAACAGACATAAACCATATTCCAGCAAAGGAAGAAGGAACCCTTAATCGTCCCACAGAGGGAACATGTACCATCATTTGACCCCCCCTAGTGTTAGGAGCAGTGGGCTGCCTTATGTACGGAGGGAAAATGTAAGTACAACAGAGAAAGTAGAAACTATTTGATGAACACTGTCAAGCCTTAACCTTGGTTTATTGCTCAAAAAATGAACTAAAGATTAATGGTGACACGTTTTTTAAATATGAATCGTCTGGCTGCTTTTATTTGTTTTTAAATGATGACTTGTTATTTATTTACATCCCCTTTGAAACAAGGCTCATGTTGCAATGAGGAAATATTATTTAGTTCATATTCTGCCAGGTAACCAATCAGCGTTATTATCCAGTTAATAGAAAATAAGGAAATCTTGTTGTTATCATTAATATGGAGTCAAAGATTGAAAATGTTGTAGTATTACAGTGACCTCACTAAACAGATGTATATGTATTGCACCTTTCAACAACATGGAAACTCAAAAGACTGAAAGGGTGTAAGAAATTAAAGACAACAAGTAACTAAGGGCGACTCAAAAGAAAAATGTATACCCAAAATCATTTAACATTATTCTCCTGATCATCAAAATGGATGCCAAAGGTGACAGAAGTGTAAATATTAGTGATGTTACGTATTGCGCAGAGGCTTCGGAGCGTGTGTCGAGTAATCCCCGAAGCTTTTTGTGAAGCTTGTACCGAGGCTTGTATCGTTTTGGGCCAGTGACGTCATCGATGACAAACGAAGCCTCGCTGCCTGTCGATACCACGTGACTGCTTCAGGAAGCGATTCAGATCGGTTGAACCGTTGAACCACAACGCTCATAATACCAATGGATGTATAATAAGAACCATATTACCCCTCCTGTACCCGGGTCCGGTGACACGATGGAATCAAGAGAGCTCAGACCCTCACTCATATAGAGGTCGGAACATGTCATAAGTAAAAATAGATACAAGCATAAATAAATGTAGGAATAAAAACATCAATAAATACAGGAATACATATGTTGCAGTGTTTCCAGGGAGCTTTAGTGTGTGTGCTGTGGCTCAGCTGGAAAGCAGAATGACCGCAGGGTCCCTGGTTCAACGACTGAACAATACATCATTTTTGTTGTTTATAAAAGCTACAGCTAAATGAGATAATGTAGTTAATAATGTATTCTTTGATATGGTTTAGCCTTTCTCAGGCTACAACATGGTTACGTTTATGAATATTATTAAGGAATACAAATCCCTCTTTGCAATGTTTACCGGCCTCCTTAGGCTTTTCAATCACAATCATTTAACTGGAATAAATACAATATTGTTAACATAAAAATATGATTTAATGTTCGTTGTTTAGAGTTATTCTAAGGCTTTACTCATTGGGAACTCGGTATGAGATAGAGCACACTGTTGAGATGTCCAATCTGCCTGTTTTACACACTTTGACCAACAGGGGGTTTGTGTTCAAATGAAGCTCATGATGAAGCCTCATGAGATGAACCCTTTTGTGAACCAATTGGCTGGAAAGCTTCAATGCTTCATAAGGCTTCATCTCGCCATCACTAGTGAATATGAATCAAAGATGACATGGACGGTATATTTCTCAACCGGCTGCAGAGAGAAAGGCTGAAGATGAAGAAGATGAAGTTGGCCTCCAAAGCACCGGGTACATCTTATC